GAAGGAAGGAAGGAAGGAAGGAAGGAAGGAAGGAAGGAAGGAAGGAAGGAAGGAAGGAAGGAAAAGGAAAGGAACTGGGTGGTTGAGAACTGTGAAAAATAAGGTAAAATAAAAGGGAGGGAGATTGGAAAGGAGGAAGAAAAGGAAGAAGGGAAGGAGGGTGGGAGGTATGAAGGAAGGAATTGGAATGGGGAGGGAAAGGAAAGGGGGAGAGAGGGAGAAAGGGAGGAAGGAAGGAGAATTGGAAGGGGAAGAGAAAGAGGGAGGGAGAAAGGAAGAAAGGAAGGAAGGAGAATTGGAAGAGGAATTCTGGGAGTAGAAGTCCGCAAGTCTTAAAGTCGCCAAGTTTTGGAGACCCCTGCTTTACGACAGTGGAGACCAGAGATGGGGATGACCTCATGAAAATGCTCTTCATCTCCAGATGGTTGGAAGGTCAACAAGACACGTTTGTTGAAGTGTCTTCCCTCATACATTTTCTTGTAAAATCTTGAAGATCAATCGTGGTGGCCAGGAGACATCTCTGCGGCTTCCTCCTCGTTGCTGGCCAAGTTCTCCATGACCACCAAAAGACCTTGGATCTTCTCCAAGGGCAGTTAATCTCTAACACGGTGCCATGTGAATGATACACCCGGCTGTGGGATCAAGAGGTTGCTCTATGGCATGAAATTGCCCTGTGGGCTGAAAAGTCACACCAAGAGTTTGCTACCTCTGTGTCCTTTTTCACACTTCCACCCCTGTTGTGCTGTCACACTTTAACCTGGAGCTCAACTAGAACTTGCCTCTGTCCTGGTTCAATTTATTGGAAGATCACGGTTTTTCCACCTCCAAAAGAGGTGTTTTTTTTTAGGAAAGAGGGAAGACAGTTTTTGCTGGATGGAGAATGTCCGGTCCCACCCAGATTAGGGGAGGCGGTATATTTATTCCTTGATTCCAGAAGTGGAGTCCAAAACCGTATCCTTCATCTTTGTGGCTTCTAGAAAAGAGCTCCTGCTTTTCTGGATGAGGAGAAACTGGTTGAAGGTCCTTTGGTTAAAAGTCCTTGGAGATCTAGTTTACGATCCTTTGGAGAAACTGGTTGAAAGTCTTTTGGAGATCTGGTTGAAGGTCCTTAGAAGAAATTGGTTGAAGGTCCTTTGGAGATCTAGTTTAAGATTCTTTGGAAAAACTGATTGAAGGTCCTTTGGTTGAAAGTCTTTTGGAGATCTGGTTGAAGGTCCTTTGGAGAAATTGGTTGAAGGTCCTTTGGAGATCTGGTTGAAGGTCCTTTGAAGAAACTGGTTGAAGGTCCTTTGATGAAACTGGTTTAAGATTCTTTGGAGAAACTGGTTAAAGGTCCTTTAGAGATCTGGTTGAAGGTCCCTTGAAGAAACCAGCTGAAGTCCCTTTGGAGAAACTGGTTTAAGGTCCTTCCTAAAAAAAAAACAGTGCTCATGCAAGGTTTGATAGACTTCTACCAGGAAGAGGTCCAGGAAGGGCTATATCCTTTCCTTCCACCTTCTCACATAGGTTTCTCCAATTTTGGTCCTTCCAGCTGCCTATCATGGGCTTCACAGAGGTTTTAGAACATGTTGGCAGCATGGGACGCTTCCAAATTGTCTATGTGACCCTCGTCTCCATTCCGGTGCTTATGATGGCTTGTCATATGATACTGCAGAATTTTACCGCGGGGACGCCAGATCATCACTGCGCGCCCAGCCGCGACGCTGTTCCCAGGAACTGGAGTTCAAAAGATGAGGCTCGCCTTGGGGTGTCCCTCCCCATGGACGAGAATCGAAAGCCGGCAGAGTGCCACCGTTTCCGCCAGAAGCAGTGGTGGCATTCGAACGGCACCGCAGAGAACGAAACCCAGATGGAAACCGAACCGTGTAGAGATGGATGGGTGTACAACCGAAGCACCTTCCAAGAGACCATTGTGACAGAGGTGAGATCAAAGATTTTCTGGATTCAGAGGCGATCAGGTTGGGCACATCCAGGTTCTCAAATCAGGAGGCTGAGACTCCCCCAGACGCTGTAGGTAGTCCTCGGCTTACAACTGTTCATTGAGTGACCGTTCAAAGTTACAACAGGCACTTATATCCATTTTTCACATAACCGTTACAGCATCCCTACGGACACGTGATCAAAATTCACACGCTTGGCAACTGGCATGTACTTATGACAGTTGCAGGATCCCTGGGTCACATGATCCGCTTTTACGACCTTCTGATAAGCAAAGCCAACGAGGAAGTCAGATTCACTTTACAACCATGTTACTAACTTAACTCATTGATTCACTTAACTGCTGTGTTACTAACTTACTGTAAGTGCACCGATTCTTCTTCCATAGTTTAGGACAAGTTGCTAAAAAAAAAGTGATATTTATTTCTCGCCCAACCCTAAGGCCAGGGAGGTTGATTTTATTTTATTTTATTTTATAAGGGCTTGCCCACAAATGCATTTATTGTTTTGGGGGGTTGTGGCTTTGTAAATTTGCAGAACCTGTGCAAGAAACACAGCACCCTAATTTTAAATTAAGAGTGGGACACTCCGTGGAGTGTTGAAAGATCCGTAGTGTGCACGATTCCTGGGAATGAGACTTTCCCCCTATCTCTACTGTGAAGACAAAAACCTATTTTTGGTGGTGGTGGGGAAATAATGGCTTTAAAATATATATCTTTGAGCGGCACGCTCAAATTGATAATTAAAGGGGGTAATGTTTGAACTACTAGAATTGAGATGAAACTTACCGGACAATGAAATAAAAGTATGTGATAAAATTGCAAGTGTGACCGATAAAAGTATAATGAATATTGAAACAAAATAAGAATTTTAGATAATATTATAAAATAAGACATGAGAATACATGAAGAAAAATGAAATAAGCTAAGATATGAATTGAAAATGGATAAAATAAGTGTGATGAATATAAGAATATCTGAGAAAATTTATAGGAAAATGGGAAATGTAATGATATGATATGAAATTGAACATGAAAGAGAAATATGTAACTAAGGTCATGTTTGTATTGAAATGTAAAAACCTGGAACCACATTGTTCACCAAAAGAGATGTTTTTAAAATGTATGTATGTATGTATGTATGTATGTATGTATGTATGTATGTATGTGTATATGTCTATTTATTTTCTCTTTTTCCTTCTGCATGACCCCAAATATTTTGGCAGTGGGATCTGGTTTGTTCCTCCCGGACACTAAAGCAAATGGCGCAGTCGATTTACATGGCTGGAGTTTTAATTGGCGGGATCTTATTTGGAGGCCTCTCGGATAGGTGAGGGACGATACCCAAGTTAAACATGTTGTAAAGTGGGAAATTGCTGTAGCTCGACTCAACTCTGCAACATAGGAATGTCTCTGAGTGTGTGCAGAGTGTTAGGGCTTTTCTTTGTTAGATGCATTTAATTGCACCAATGAATGCCAAATTAATTGGCATTCATTAACGCAAAAAATTAATTTAAAAAAATGCAAAAAAAGAAAATGCAGCAATATTCTCGGGTGCGGTGCGGATCCAGGATTTAAAAATAGTTATTAATGTTTTAAGATGCTAAGGGGATAATGAACTGGATATCTTTGCAACTGAGTAATGCCTCTGGGCATGTCCAAAGTGCTAGGGTTTTCTTTCCCAAATGCATTTAGTGTGCACCAATATTCTTGGTGCAATGCAGACACAGGATAGAATAGCAGAGTTGGAAGGGACTTTGGAGGTCATCTAGTCCAACCCCCTGCTTAAGCAGGTGACCCTAGACCATTTCAGACAAGTCATTGTCCAGTCTCTTTTTAAGAACCTCCAGTGATGGAGCACCCACAACTTCTAGTGGCAAGCTGTTCCACTGGTTAATTGTCCTCAGTATTTGTAGGATAAAAGTACCAATCAATAGAATAAAATAACGGAGTTGGAAGGGACCTTGGAGGTCTTCTAGTCCAACCCTCTGCTTAGGCAGGAAAACCTATACCACTTCAGACAAACGGTTGTCCAATCTCTTTTTAAAAGCTTCCAGTGTTGAAGCATTTACAACTTTGTTGCACTAATTAATTCTTCTCACAGTCAGGAAATTCCTCCTTAGTTCTAGGTTTCTTCTCTCCTTGCTTAGTTTCCATCCATGGCTTCTTGTTTTGCCCTCAGGTGCTCTGGAGAATAGCTTGACTCCCTCTTCTTTGGGGCAGCCCCTCAAATATTGGAACCCTGCTATCCTGTCTCCCCATGTCCTTCTTTTCATTAGACTAGACATATCCAGTTCCCGCAACCGTTCTTTGTATGTTTTAACTTCCAGTCCCCTTATCATCTTTGTTGCTCTTGTCTGCACTCTTTCCAGAGCCTCAAAACATCTTTTTTATATTGTGGCAACCAAAAGTGGATGCGATATTCCATGTGTGGCCTTAACACAAGGCCTTATAGAGTAGTATTACACCAGGGGTCCCCAAACTTGTCAACTTTAAGACTTGTGGACTTCAACTCCTGGGATTCCCTAGCCGGCCATCCTGCCTGGGGAATTCTGGGAGCTGAAGTCCACAACTCTTAAATGTTGGCCAGGTTTGGAGACCTCTGTATTACACTAATGTTGTAAGACACTAAGGGGATAATTAACCGGATAATTTAGCTTCTCTCTGACCCACCCAGTTCTGTACAGTGGTGTCTTATTGAATGACTCCGTAAAATATTTCTATTAATATTTACTCCTAATTTAGAAGACCAGGTTGCAAATGCTAAATGCTAAACTTGGTAACTGGGATAAAGCTCACACTGGGTTAATAGAAATAAATCACTGAAACGTCTCACAGAAACTGGCCCGTTTTGTACTACAGGTAGTCCTTGACCAACGACCGCAGTTGAGCCTAAATTTTTCCGTTGCTATAAGCGAGACATTGGTTAAGTGAAATATTCACCATTTTACGACCTGGCTTGCCACAGCCGTTAAGGGAATCTCCGCAGTTGTTAAGTTAGTAGCACGGTCGTTAAGTGAATCGCCCTGATTTTGCTCGTCAGAAGGTCGCAAAAGGGGATCGTGTGTGACCTCGGGACTCCTCAACTGTCATGAGTACATGCCAGTTGCCGAGAGTCTGAATTTTGATCAGGGTCGTAAGTGTGAAAACGGTCATAAGTCCCTTTATTCAGGGCTGTTGTGACTTTGAACGGTCACTCAATGAACTGTTGTAAGTCGAGGACCCCCTGTATTACTTTCCAACTTCCACTGAAATTCCTCTGGCTGCCAAAGAGGATTTTTTCAAAGTTTTTCTGCTTTGTTGCAACAAGCTAGAAAATTTCTTTCCAATTTAAATTGAGGTTTGAAGGCTGAGTTTCCCACTGGAAGCATGACGGTTGGGGTATACAGGTGGTGGTTCTCAACTTACAACAGTTCATTTAGTGACCGTTCAAAGTTACAACAACACTGAAAAAGGTGACTTACGACCGCTTTTCACAGTTATGACCGTCCCAGCATCCCTACGATCGTGTGATCAAAATTTGGATGTTTTGGCCACCGATTCGCATTTATGACAGTCGCAGTGTCCCAAGGTCATGTGATGTCCTTTTGCAACCTCCTGACGAGCAAAGTCCACAGGGAAGCCGGATTCACTTAACAACCGGGCGACTGACTTGTCAACCACAGTGGTTCGTTTAACAACCGTGGCAAGAGAAGTCGTAAAACGGGGCAAAACTCACCTGGCAAATGTTTCGCTTAACAACAGAAATTTGGGGTACGGTTGTGGTTGTACGTTGCGGATTGCCTATACAAAGAAAGGGTCATTTGTGCCCTTACTAAATCAGAATGGACCGTTTTTTCCCCTCTTTCCTGTTCTAACAAACTTCAGAAGTCTGTCAGCATTCCAGCAAATCTCCACCCCAACCAATAACTCCGAGACAGGCATCTTCTCAAAATTTCATTTTATTTTGGATAGTAAACTGGCACAACTGCGGAATCCCGAATCTGAAAGTTCCGGGCTTCCTTGCAATAAGTAAAAAAACTACAAAATCCATCCCCTGCACAACCATCATCATTGCATCACATGCCCCAATCACCATCTGTCATTCCGCTGGTGGAGACTGAACCTGAGGGAGACGAGGAACAGCCGACAGGGAGTGGGAGTGTGGCTCCGGAGGTTGGGGAGGAGGCTGGGGAAGGGCAGAGGCCGGCTGGGCAGTCAGAGGAGGACCCAGGCCCATCCCCTCTCCATCCTAGGGCACGCAGGGAGGAGAGGATAAGGGAGAGACTGGTCTAAGGGGGAGGAGAGGGCCTTGATCCTCTTCATGGGCTGCAGCTGTGACAACTGGATAAGAGGACAGACATGCGTATGGGCCAGTGCTGGAAACAAAGCATGGAAATATCTCTAGTTTATGGTTCCTCTCTGAGTTTGGTGTCTTTCCCAGTGTGTGTTATCTGTGGACGTCCTCCAGCCCTTATCTTGCCTGGTTTGTGTTGCTTTTTCCCTTCTTCTTGTAATCGTTTGTGTGGGAGATTTTTGTCTTCCATCAAGAATATTCGGAGCTTGGAAGCAAAGTAAAAAAATAAAAGGGGCTTCACCTGTTTTCTGTGACTGTGTTTGTTTTGTATCCCACTACCCATCCCAACTTGAGACTTCCCCTCACTTATGCACAGAATAACATGACCTTGAATTAGAAAAAGAATGTTATTATGTCTAACTACATACACTCCGAGAAATTTCCCCCCTCCCACTTTCCCAGGCTCAAAATGTGGCAGCGTGGGAGCATCTGGTCTCAATATGGCTTCCAAAGCTGACAAAGTCAATTTTCTCATGCACGACGGGATGAAAATGAGGCAGAATTTCAGCTCCGTCCTTTCGTCCTCATATTCTCTTCATTCTCCACCTCTGTTCTAACCTGACTTCTTTTTCTGCCCCCTTGCAGATTCGGGCGCCAGCCCATCCTCTTGTGGTGTTACCTGCAGCTGGCCACAACTGGCACAGCGACGGCGTTTTCTCCCAATTTCAGCGTTTACTGCTTCCTCCGCTTTCTCACCGGGATGGCTTTCTCGGGCATCGTGCTCAACGGTGTCTCTCTGTGTGAGTCCCTGGGATCCTACCATTGCCACGTGATCTGTCTTCCCCAGCGTTGAACGATTTGCGAGCCATTAATGGAACCTCCATGGGCAGGAATAGTAGGCCTTCAAAGGTTCTTTTTTTTCAGGAGGCAACTGGACTTTTTTATTTTTTTTCTTTTGAAGACGTTTTCCTCAGAGAAGCTTCTTCAGTTCTGGCTGGATGGTGGGGAACGGAAGGATTTATACTCCTTGCAGGCAGTTGGTCCTTTGCATCCTTTGTAGAGAGTTGTTGAGGCCACCTTTGCCAACACAACACACGTGCCCACCTCAAACCCAAGAATACACTGAAAGGCAGAAGCGTGTCCACCCCAAGGATAAAACACCCAGGCACAAAACGAGCAACATGGTATATGCAATACAATGCAGTGAGCCACACGCAGATCTGTACATTGGAGAAACAAAACAACCACTTCACAAACACATGGCACAACATAGGAGAACAAACCCATCAGGATGAGGTTCATCTGCATTTAAAAGACAAAGGCCGCTCTTTTGAAGACAGCTAAGTCCCCATTTTGGACAGAGGGGACCGCTGGTTTGAAAGAGGGGTCAAAGAGGCCATCTATATCCAAATTGAACAGCCCTCTTTCTACAGATATGACATCATTTATCTCCAGTGTACAACACAGTCCTTTCAACAGTTCCAAGAAGGCTCCACTAAGGTGATTCTAAGGCCAAAAATAAACCTCCAAGTGGCCTCAAGGACTCTCTAAAAAGGATGCAAATGATCAGCAGTCTGCAAGGAATATAAATCCTTCCATCCTCCACCATCCAGTCAGAGCTGAAGAAGCTTCTTGGACGAGAAGCGAAACGTCTTCAGAGAAAAACGTCCAGTTGCCTCTTGAAACAAAATCACCTTTGGGACAGCTTTGGTGGGATTCAAGAAAGTTTTACCACCGGTTCGGTGGGCGTGGCTTGGTGGGCGTGCTTTGCGCATGTGCACCTACTTTGCGCGCGCGCGCCAAATGCACGCTTTGTGCAGGCGCAGAGGCGTTCCAACTCACCTCCTGCTAGCCTGCATTCTCCCAGTTGCTTTGGCAGCTGCCGCGTGGCACAGAGGATAAAGGGGAATATGGGAGCCCAGGCGGGCAGGTGGGCCCAACAGCAGAGAACGGCGGAGAAAACGGGTTCATTCTCCGCTGCTCATCGCCGCTACCGGCTCGGCCAAACCGGGATGAACCGGTAGAATACCACCGCTGCTTTGGGACAACCATGACAGAGGATCTCCATCGAGAGTCACCGTTATTTTCTTCAAGTCACCGTTATTCTGTTATTTCTGGAGTGTGGTTTGCTTTCTTGCTAAATGTACCTCTCGGCAGCCCTAATGGTTTCTACTTGCCAATCTGAGTTTGTTTGTTTTGTTTTTTCCCTTCACCTGGGCAAGCTTGATAGCCTTCGAATGCTGGTTCTGTTCTTCCCAACAGGTGTGGAGTGGACGCCCACCAAGACCCGGCCAGTGCTGGGGACCATCAATGGCTGTGTGTACACCACTGGGCAGCTTATCCTGGCCGGCCTGGCATATACTTTCCGAGATTGGCACCACTTACAGCTGGTGGTCTCTCTGCCTTATTTCCTGTTCTTCTGTTATTCTTGGTAAATAGGACATGGGGGGTAAATTAAGGGACCGGGAAACAGCCGTCTTTCCCATATCCTGTCTCCAATTTTAGCCTTCGTTAAGACCCATGGCAATGCACTAGTCCTCAGTGAGAAAACCAAAGACACAATGACATATTTTCAACGACCAGCTCTTTTGCCGAGCTGGAAGCCATAGCATTAACTGGGGAATAGTTGATAAGCCTCGGCGTGGCTCTCCTTGTGGTGTCTTTTCCTTTTCTCCATCCTTCATCCACCCACAGGTGGCTTTCTGAATCGGCTCGCTGGCTGATAACAGCCGGGAAGCTCGAACGGGCCGTGACGGAGCTGAAGAAGGTGGCCAAAATGAACAGGAAAGAGGAAGCTGCTGGAAAGCTAAATGTGGAGGTGAAGACCCCAAAGATGTCAAGATTATTTCTGTTTATGTGCATAACTGTGCCCCGTTTTGATCATACGACTTTTGGGGTGTCTTGCCATGGTCGTAAGTACAAGAATCAGCCGCAAGTGATTTCAGACCCTCATGAAATGAATGGTCGTAGGTGGAAGGCTAGCTGTACGTGGGGTTTTACAATACAGGCAGTCCTCGAGTTATGACTGCAATCGAGGCTGGCAATTACGGTCATAAGTTGTGACTTTTTGCAAAGCAGCTCACCACCCGACTAGATCCAATTTTACAACCTTTTTCCAGATAGTCATTAAGCAAACCTGGCAGTTGTTAAGTGAACCCATTGTTTTCTCTGGGCCAGTTTTTTTTTCCAGAAAAGCCAAAAAACGGCCATAAGTCACAGCCATTTGAGTGCAAAGTGTTGCAACTGGCCATAAATCCCAGCCGATTGTTGAGGGGCCAAAATGTGGTCACGTGACCCCAGGGGCCTGGTGGGGGGGCAATATCCAAGCTTCAAAGCTGAGTGGTAGGTCATTTTGGGGAGGGGGGGAATGTCCATTGTAACTTTGAACAGTCGCTGAAGTGAAGTCTCATAAGTCGAGGACTGCTTGTGCCTCGGACCAGGTTATCAGGCTTGGCCCTTTGCACCCCATTAAAAAGCTCCCAGATTGAAAAACTCAACCAGGCCTTGCAATGTGTCCCTCACCCTGCAGTTCCTCAGATCCAAGATGAAGGAGGAATTGGCCTCCATGACCTCCAAGACTTCGCTGCTCGACCTCGTCCGGACGCCGACCATGCGCCGCATTTCCCTCTGCGTCTGCTTTGTCTGGTGAAAAACTCTGGAAAAAAACTCTCTCCGTCCACTTTGCTTTGGACTGGCTTTTCATTTAAGTTTCATTTAATTTAAAATTTAATTTAATGTTTTATTTTTGTTTTATTATTTTCTTTTACATTTTCTTTTATTATTTTTATTATTTCATTTTATATTTTATTTCTTATTTTACATTTTATTTGATTCATATTTTATTATTTTATTTTATTAGTTTTATTTTATTTTTTATTTTTTCATTTTATATTTTATTTCACATTTTATTTTATTCATATTATTTTATTTTATTTTTTATTATTTCATTTTATATTTTATTTCTCATTTTACATTTTGCTTTATTATTTTATTTTATTAGTTTCATTTTATTTTTTATTATTTCATTTTATATTTTATTTCTTACTTTACATTTTATTTTATTCATATTTTATTATTTTATTTTATCATTCTATTTTATTAGTTTTATTTTATTTTTTATTGTTCTGTTTTATTTCAATTTATTTGTTACTTTATTAATTTTATTATTTCATTTTATGCTTTATATTTTACATTTTATTCATTATATTTTAGTTTATTATTTATCTCAGCGTTCTATTTTATTTTAATGTACCTGTGTTATTTTATTAGTTTTATTTTATTTATTATTTTTATGTTAGTTTATTTCAGTTTTCATATTTTATCATTTCATTTTATTATTCTATTCTATGTTTTAATGTATTTATTTTATTTATTTCATTATTTCATATGTTCTGTTCTATTCTGTGTTATTATTTCATTTTATGCTTTATCTTACATTTTATTTTATTCATTGCATTTTATTATTTCATTTTATCGTTCTATTTTATTTTAATTTATTAGTTTTATTTTATTTATTATTTTTATGTTAGTTTATTTCGGTTTTCACATTTTATCATTTCAGTTTATTATTCTATTCTGTTTTGTTTTACTATATTTGTTATTTTATTTATTTCATTACTTTATATGTTCTATTCTATTCTATTAATATTTTATCATTTTATCACTTATTCGTTTATTTCTTCCTTTGGTCCCCTTCCCAAGGTTCTCCACCAGTTTCGCTTATTATGGGCTGGTGATGGACTTGCAGAATTTCGGAGGCAACATCTACCTGATCCAACTCTTTTTTGGAGCTGTTGACTTCCCGGCGAAGTTTCTTTCAGTCTTCACAATCAGCTACATCGGCCGCCGGTTCACCCAAGCCGTTACTCTCATCCTGGCTGGCTTAAGCATCTTGGCCAACATCTTCATCCCTCAAGGTGAGAAAGACTTTGGGTCTGGAGTAGCGCAATACTGGAACTCAAAGGTTTTGGGGAAGCTTCTACAAGGTTTCTGGTTTTCTTCCTCATGCTCAGGAAGCTTGAGAGAAACCTAGAAAGAGTGCAGAGAAGAGCAACCAGGATGATGAGGAGACTGGAGGCTGAAACATGTGAAGAAGGGTTGCAGGAACTGGGCTTGGCTAGTCTAGGGAAGAGAAGGACCAGGGGAGACAGGAGAGCATCTTCCAATATTTGAGGGGCTGCCCCAGAGAGGAGGAAGGGGGTCAAGCTATTCTCCAAGGCACCTGAAGGCCAGACAAGGAAGAATGGATGGAAACTGAACAAGGAGAGACTCAACCTGGAAATAAGGAGGAATTTTCTGACAGGGAGAACAATCAACCCACAGAACAGCTGTGGGAGAGTAATCATTTCAGACTTTCAAGAAGAGATTGGACTGCCATTTGTCAGAAATGGTGTAGGGTCTCCCACTTGGACGGGGGGTTGGACTAGATGACCTACAAGGTCCCTTCCAACTCTGATTATCTGTTATCTGCTTTAGGTTTCAGCTTTAGAAGTTTTGGGGAGGGGGGGTGGATTTCAACTCCCAGAATTCCCCAGCCTGCACACTGGAAGTTGAAGTCCTCCCATCTTAAATTATTCTGGCTGGGGAACTCTGGGAGATGAAGTCCAACTATCTTCAGGCCTGCTGGCTGAGGGATTCTGGGAGTTGAAGTCCATTCTTCATAAAGATGCCCAGTTGGGAAAAAGAATACTTTAGAGAGGGTCCTTTAGATTAAAGGGGCATACAAATGATAGCAAATAATAATGTCTCAGAACCAGATTGGAAATGGGACCATAGACCGAGGTGGCTGTAAGTTTATGAGCAAAGTAAACCAAAGAACCAGATATTCGCACAAACAGAACCAAGTCTTCCACCTGGAAACTGGATTGGATGGATCGAGTTGATTCAGAACCACAGACAGCGTCTCTGCGTCAGTGACGGCAATTGGATCCCGTTACTAAACTAGGCTGTGGTTCCAGCAACGTTCTGGAGATAGCTGTCAACTCTATCAAAATCGGGAATGTTTTATTCCCCCATTATACAACATATCATAACAGGGTTGGATGAGACCTCAGAGGTCATCTAATCCAACCTCTAACCCCTCTACCATTCTGGACAAATGGCTGCCCAGGGTCTTCTTGAAGACTTCCAGCGATGGAGCACGCACAATTTCCTGAAGGTAAGCCACCCCCCTGGTTAATTAACAGGATTACAGGGTCGGGAGGGACCTTGGAGGTCATCTAGTCCAACCCCACCACCACCACCCCGCTCAAGCAGGAGACCCTCTACCATTCTGGACAAATAGCTTAGATCTCCAGAGAGTGCGGTCTTCACCACGTACCTCTCCATTTCTCCCAGATATGCAAACCCTTCGGACGACCGTGGCTGTTTTCGGGAAGGGCTGCTTAGGCACCTCGTTCAACTGCATCTACTTATACACTGGAGAACTTTATCCGACGGTACTTCGGTGAGAGACCAAACCAGGGGGAACCGCAGGGGAGGTGACTGTGAAAATATAATGGGGGCTCCTCCGATGGAAGGAAAGGAAGGAGAAGTGGGTGCGAGATACCTGCTTGTGGGCGGTGGTGTTGAAAGAAAAAAACACAGGGGGGTTATATTGGGCCAAGTACCTCCATGAGGTCAAGCAGCATGACCAATCCCTTTTGCTTGTGTGTGTGTGTGTGGGGGTGTCTGTCTGTGCAGGCAAACGGGGATGGGTCTCGGCAATACCATGGCCCGCCTGGGAGGCATTGTGGCTCCGGTGGTGAAGATGACAGGAGAATACGTCCCGTTCCTGCCCAATCTTATCTACGGTGCAGCTCCCATCATAACTGGAATTGTGGCAACCTTTTTGCCAGAAACTCGCAACATCCCCTTGCCAGAAACGATAGAGCAGGTGGAGAACAGGTGAGGAAAAACGGTGGTCCCAGACCCTAAAAGACCTTCTTTTTCTATGCTGATTCTTTGTCTGTAGCAAGAAAGCCAACTGACGGATTGAGGGATTTAAAATAATAATAATAATAATCTCTATCCTATTAAAACTCTCATTGCCATGACCGTTGATTGGGGCACGATAGGAACACGGTTTTTGAACCAAGGTTATTTCAAATAGGTTAACTTACAAGAAACCATCCAAAAGCCAGGACCCATAAGTCTTGAAGGAATGAAAATTTGGGGAAAGTTCTGGTCGCTTCAGAGCTAATGACTGCTGCCGCATTGCCACAGAGCAATCTTAATTGTTCTGTGACAGTTTCCCAGTCAGTTTAGCAATCCCTTGCTTCCTCTCTTACTCAACAGCAGCCACTTACCTGTCTGCTGAGAAGGAAAGGAGGAGGAGGGGAGGGAGGGAGGGAGATCAGGAAGGACGGGGGAAGGGAAGGGAGGAAGGAAAGGAGGAAGGGGAGGAAAGGAAAAGAAAGGTAAAGAAAGGAAGAAAGGGGAAGGGGAGGGGAGGGAGGGAGGGAGAAAGGAAGGAAGGAAGGAAGGAAGGAAGGAAGGAAGGAAGGAAGGAAGGAAGGAAGGAAGGAATTTTTCCAATATTCTCTGCCAGATTCCCACAAGGAAATTCAATGGGGAAGCCAGCGGGAAGCCAAAAATCTCTCCTATTCCCACTGCTTTTTTTTTTTTTGCCCATCTAGTTCATTCTGTTTAGGAACCATCTCTGAAGCAATGACCCAACAGGGCGCAATAGTAGCAATTTAAAAAGTGAAGAATGCAAATATCAAACCGCACCCGTCTGAAGCTTAAAACCGGTTAAGTTTCAGTAACACAGCTGAGCCCACTGCTTGTTCATCATCTGAGCTGGTGAAGCCCCTTTGCAGACCCACCAACACTTAATGGCATTTTTCCCCTCTGAACAGATCACGGAATCAGAGCCAGAAGCTGGACTTCCAGCAAACAGAGACCCTCTTGCTCTCCACCAAGCCCAAAAGCAAGGAAATCACTCCTTAAGGAGAGAAAAACGTCGTATTCAGGACGTACCTTTGCAGGAAGACCTGTGGAAAACGAGAACAGTGTCACGCTTTGGAATAATACGCCCTCCTGAGCTGCAGAGGTGGAAGCAACCACGGAGATGAAGCAGAGCGATAAAATTCTGGATTTACAGGGAGGAGAAATAGAAGCTATTTGGAAAACATTCTACTGTCTGTACGTTCATTCTGTCTGATTTCTTTTTTAAAAAAAGTTGAATCCACTTGTTTGCAAAGCATGGCCACATCCTCCTAATACATTAGTGCAAGCAAAATTTGGCGTGTCTATTATGTAGTTTAATGTGCCACCCAAATTAGATCTAAGCCTGTTGGTGAATGAGGGTAACTTCTTAAACTTTTAAGAAGTCCTGAGCTGATAATATCAAAGATGGTCGTCAGGTGGCAGCAGTGAGACACCAGAAAAATACATTTTGGCTTTCACTGGATCAATGTTTCTCAACCTTGGTAACTTTAAGATGGATGGACTACAACTCCCAGAATTCCTCAGCCCGCATGCTTTCAGATTATGTGTGTGGAGTATAACTCCCAGAATTAAACCAAGCTGGCTGTGGAATTCTGGGAGGTGAAGTCTGTTAGGAATAACAAGGTTACCTAACGTAGCTTAAAATTACCATGTTTGAGCAACACTGCCCTAATTCAATCTAACTTAGCCCTGAAAAACTCACGTTATAGTTTGTTTGTTTATTGCAACTATGTAGGTACAGCCTAGGTTTCATTACGATGGGCATAAGTATAGGCTGTTCTATGCAATAGAATAGAATAGAAGAGAAGAGAAGAGAAGAGAAGAGAACAGGAATAGAATACAATAGGAATAGGAATTAGGAATAGAACAGAATATGGAATGAGAATAGAATAGGAATAAGAACAGAATAGAATTACAGTAGAGCAGAGTAGAGTAGAGTAGAGTAGTGTAGCATAGCGTAGCATAGGGTAGCGTAGCATAGCATAGCATAGCATAGCATAGCATAGCATAGCATAGCATAGCATAGTATACAATAGAATAGAATAGAATAATAACTTTATTGTCACTTTAAATGTACACTAATTAGCATACATTAAAATGAGATACCACTGCATACAGCTCTCAAAGGGTCGACACCTCCAATATATACTACATAATCATGACAAAAAATTATTTATGCCCACATACACACACATATCTGACCCAGAGAAACAACACAGTCTAGTTTGGATGTCTGCATACACAATGGTGAGAAAAACGAATCTTGCAGATTTACCAGAAGGATGGCTTTGGCAACAAAGCTGTTACAGAATCTGGTAGTCCTGCTAGAAACCCAGCTCAAGGTATCTACCCTGGATGAAACATTCAGGGGCCCAACTCCTCTCTATAAAATGAATTAAAGTCCAGAGATTGAACTATTGATATATCCACTTTCATTTTCTCTATCTGCCATTCTGGTTTCACCCAAAATGCTCCATCAGATCAATTAAATGCTGGGTGCAAACTTGATGAAGCGGGCCAATTTAAATTTTAACTGATTGCATCAATCCACAAACCGTTCATTCCATAATAGCAATAGCACTTAGATTTATATATCACTCTGTAATGCTTTCCAGCTCTCTCTAAGCGGTTTACAGAGTCAGCCTCTTGTCCCCAACAATCTGGGTCCTCATTTTACCCACCTCGGAAGGATGGAGGGCTAAGTCAACCTTGAGCCTCATGAGAGTCGATCTGCCAAATTGCAGGCAGCCGGCAGTCAGCAGAAGTAGCTTGCACTACTGCACTCTAACCACTGCGCCACCAAGGCTTTATATAACCTATATAATAATCTGTATAACCTGGTTAAATGCAAATAAACCTAGTCTGGATAAAACAGACTATTGGGATATAATCAAGATCAAGGGAGGTACTAATACCACTCTATAAAGCCTTAGTAAGGCCACACCTAGAGTCCTGCATCCAGTTTTGGTCACCACACTATAAAAAAGGATATTGAGACTCTAGAAAGAGTGCAGAGAAGAACAACTAGGGTGATGAGGGGACCGGAGGCTCAAACATATGCAGGAACTGGGCCTGGCTAGTCTAGGGAAGAGAAGGACCGAGGGAGACATGAGAGCAGTCTTCCAATATTTGAGGGGCTGCCCCAGAGAGGAGGAGGAGGTCAAACTATTTTCCAAGGCACCCGAAGGCCAGACAAAGAACAATGGATGGAAACTGGTCAAGAAGAGTGTCAACCTAGAAATAAGGAGACATTTTCTGACAGTGAGAACAATTAACCCATGGAACAGAAGTTGCCTTTGGAAGTTGTGGGGGCTTCATCCCTGGAGGCTTTCAAGAAGAGACTGGACTGCCATTGGTCAGAAATGGTATAGGGTCTTCTGCTTGGCCATGGGGTTGGACTAGATGACCTACAAGGTCCCTTCCAACTCTGTGAATCTGGTTCTAATGGATTGGTCCATTTCTGGATTCTGCCAATTGCTAAACTGAGGATTGGGGACTGAGTTTCAAAAATGCCAGCTAATTCCTCTCATGCTGTAACGGTTGTAAGCGTGAAAAACGGTCACGAATCACATTTTTCAGTGCCGTTGTAGGTTCAGTTACTAAATGAATGGTTGTAACCCGAGGTCTATCTGAACAGAGCTATTGCAGCAAAGGTATTAGTAATCCAAGCAGAAAGAAGAGTGTTCTCCAAGATTTTGGAAATATGCCCCTCCCACCCAGAGGTGGTATTCAGCCGGTTCTGACCGGTTCTGGAGAACCAGTAGCGGAAGATTTGAATAGTTCGAAGAACCGGCCAATACCGCCTCTGACTGGCCCCGCCCCCATCTATTCTCCGCCTCCCGAGTCTCAGCTGATTGGCTGGGCCTTCTTTGGTTGCCCTGCGCAGGAGAACAGAGCTGGAAAGCAGGCTAGTGGGGTAGGGAGGGAATGGGGATTTTGTAGTAACCTTCCCCTGCCACGCCCACCAGTAGTAAATTCTTTTGAATCCCACCTGGCCAACAAGTAGAATGGAAGCCCAACCTCTCAATTTACCTATTCACAATAGGCTTTGAATGATTTCTGCAATCTGGGTTAATTTTCGAGCCGCCCATCCCTGGGTTTTCACACCCGTTTAACCGGGTCAGCGGAACAGCGTGGCGCAACACTGGCACCACTGAACTGAGGTTCATTTTGAACTTGGCTTAGTGACGGGGTGTCGTGCTGTGTCGTCCAACACCTTTAGATAATTGGGAGGTTAGCTGGTGCAGATCCAGAAAATGGATTCCTTATGGAACCAAGTTTAAAATGAGCGTACAGGGTAGTCCTTGACTCACGAGGGGTTAATTTAGTGGCCGTTCAAAATTACACCAGCACTGGGAAAAAGTGACTCATATTTATGACGGTTGCAGTTTCCAGGAGTCACGTGATCCCCTCTGCGACCTTCTGATGAATTCGGTTCACTTAACTACCAGGTTCCTTAACTTAAAAACTGCAGAGACTGTGCTTAACAACTGTGGCAAGGCAGTTGTTAAGCCACATGGGGCAAAACTCACTTAATAATTGCCTCGCTTACCAACAGAAATATTGGGCTCAATATTTGGTCGTAAGTCAAGGACTAGCTGTATACCTCTGGTTTCTGACCTTAACATTGGATGAGTTTCTCGCTTTCTCCCTGGCATTAAACACACCCCGTCTTCCAATTTGGAGGAGAAACGGCTGATTCTTAATTTTCCTCCCTGTCCTAAACCGGTGAACCTCAGAGTTCGTTCCCCTTGACCGGTTGAGTTGAAGCCAGCTGGGTGACGCCTCACTGCGCTTGGTCACTGCCGCTCCCTGGACCTCTTGCTCTGCTTTTCCGACCGTCGGTTGCCAGCGATGCCACCTTACCAAGGAGGGCACCCCGGACCTTTGCACGCGATGACCGGAGAAAGCAAATCATCAACCAATTCGGGGGCAACTTGGGATCCCACCCAAATTTTCACAGGTGCCCTCTGGAGCAGGTTAGGGGCTGGGTTCACCTATGAAGGATGGATGGTGGCTTTTAACTGGAGGGCAAGTCAAGCTGGAAACACCTCAGCCCACCACAGCCCTGGGCTGGCCGGGCTCTTGGCCTATAAAAACGTCGTACAGTTTTAGTAGTTAGAAAACCAAGGCGGCCGAGGTGGGAAGAGAACTGTGCGACAGCCATGGTCAGAATAGCAGACCAGGGCTTTCCCACCAGGAAGCTAGGTTTTCTGAAAAGAGTCCAGAATTATGATGAGCCACGTTAGAGGTCGTTCTCAACTTACAACCATTCATTTAGTAATTGTTCAAAGTTACAACGGCACTGAAAAAAGTGACTGACAACAGATCCTCACATTTACAACTGATCTCTTTCTCAGTTCTCAGTTCTCTCTCTCTCTCTCTCATCTATGTTCATCTATCACATATTTTATATATTTATATCTTTCATCTACTTCTATCATCTTATATCTATCATCTGTCTGTCATTTATCTTATCTACTTCTCTATTATCTATCTTATCTATCATCCCTCTATCATCTCTCTTATCTATTTATCTACCTACCTACCTATCTTATCTCTGTCTCTCTATCATCTATATTCTGTCTATCCTGCCTGCCTGCCTATCTCTGTCTGCCTGCCTGATTATCTCTGTCTCTCTCTGTATCATCTATATTCTATCTATCATATCTACCTACTTACCTACCTACCTAAGTACCTAACTACCTACCTATCATATCTCAGAC